AATTTAAGGGATTTTTTTTGGTGTCATTTTGACTAATTTTGACATTTTGTGTGTTTTTGTTTCTTTAGAAAACAGTAAAAAAAAAGGTGTGAGATGGTTTTTATTTTGACCCTTTGCAGGTACAGGGACCAGTCAGTTGCGTTTGTGGCAACAAAAAAATTTTAATTACCAGTACTGTTAAAGCTCTTGTCTCATGAGCCTAGATCTCATCTTGCCCTGTCTTATAAGATAAGGGTCTCGTTACCCACAGTAAACACTGCAGCACTGTGTATTTGTAAATGAATCTGTGTGTCGCAGTACCTGACTGAACAGGAAGTACATTGTTAGCTTTGAGGAGTTGGAACATGAACCACTGGCTGGGCTGCGCCACATCTAGGCAGTGACTTTAAGGGGTTTGCTCACGTAAAGTAAAAACTGGCAGTGAACTGGCTTCGTATCATGACTCAGGACTAAAAAGCTGTGTGTCAGCCGAACACTGGATCTCTCTGGTGGGTGCAGTACATGTGTGTTAATCCACTCTGTTCACACACTCGCAGCATCCCTGTTGGTGTGCGTCTACTCAGACTGTCAGCTTAGCCCACTCAATCTGTAATCCAGAAACACCGAGACAAAGATGAACTGAAAATAAGAGGCCTGGAAATAAACCTGCGAAACGTCTCGACATTTTACTTTTCACACATCGTTTCTGTCCAGCTCTGACTCTCCCCCCACCTTCGTAAGTTAAAGCATCGTTTACTCCGGCCCGCATCAGATACTGGGAATCACATTCCATCGGTTGCCCTGACAACAGACGCGACTGAGTAAATGCGGCCTCGCACCTCTTCGTAATCACCAGCGAAGCGAGTCGAAGACCATCCGTCAGCTCCCATTCAGCAGCGTTCACTCCTCCCACTTTCTTCTGTCTGAATGACCAAACAATGCCCGATTAAAAAAAACGAGCCCTGCTGCAAACTGCACTCAGTCCTAATGCTTTACACAAACTGAGATCAGCTGATTATTAATGTTAGAAACATTGTGTTTATTTAGTCAATTTCAGTCTGCAGTCAGAGAACAGCTGCAGTGAAAAGATGTGATCATGTTTCTTCATGTATTGTTTATATTTATGTTTTTTGCATTATATAAAATGTTACAAAATCATGAAAAGACTCTCTTTAACGTCGCAAATAAGATAACGTTGGGGTTTTATGATCAAGAAAGCAACAATAAACTAAGAAAAGAAGAGAAATGTTCATTTATCCGTTCAAAAGATTATTTAAATTTATGCTAAACGTGACTTCAGAACAGCAACAGGCAGTGGTTTCAGAATATTTAAAGTAGTTAAATATTACTACCCCCGACCACCATCTCCAGCCCCAAAAAAATAAGAACAGAGAAAAAAATTCAAAATATTCATGAAGAAAAATCTAAACATTATCAGACAAATTTGAAGAGCGCTGCTTAAAATACACGTCCATGCTTTAAAAATGATTGATTAACTAGTTTACTGATCATTTCTTTTACAAAACACTCGCCTAAAGCTTCTGGATTATAGATGTGCCGTTTTCTGCTTTTAAATAAATTGGGACAATTAAAAAAAAATAGCATTTTGAACTGCAAGAACCAACAAAAGTCACATTGTAAAGAAATGTATTCATTTTAATGAGCAACAACTTTCTTAAGGAATTGTTGAGACTGATGCTAGTTATTACACCGTTATAATTTTTATTAAACTATTAGGGATGCATGATATTATCAGCATGGTATCGGCTGATATTAGCATTAAAGTTAAATATCGGCCATTCCATCAAAATAACTTACCGATATAAAAGACGCTGTTTTTGTATGACAACCCTGTGACAAGGATGCCTGCAGCACCGGCACAACGTGATGACATCACGCACGCCTACCTGATCTGATCACGACAGAGAGGAAGAAGTCAAAATGTCAGTGGTGCGCAAGTTTGTTTTTTTCATTGAGGAAATCAGATTCCAAAGATTTTTGGACTACGTTGAGCCTCGTTACATCTTCCCCAGTCAGAGATATTTTTCCGACGTAACCTTATCAGAGTTACAAGTCATCATTTCTGACGTCATTTAGAAGCTAATAACCGATAGCACTTGGGTGCGTTTTACCACAGATATGTGGACGTCAAGTGTTAGCCCCGTTAGCATGATTAGTCCTACGGCACAACGGACAGACAAAACTTTGAACTTAAAAAGTCTGTCCTTCATGCACAAGAGTGCAGAGGATCCTACACTGCAGCTAGGTACCTGGAACAAGCCTCCACAAGTGAGACAGCATCGCATGCAACTAATGCTAATAAATAACATTTAACACTTTTCATATAAGTTAAAGTGCTATACATATCCAATGGCAGTTACTGAATATATGTCACCAGCTCTAACAGCTGTTGTGCAATTTATGTGGCAAATAATCCTAAATAAGAGGACTATGTTCTGACAAAGGAAAGTATATAAAATATTGATATTGGATATCGGCCAAAAATCCAATATCGTGCATCTCTATGATATAACTGAGCTTAGTTCTTGTTCAGTAAAACTATGATAACTGATATGGGGGAGCAGTGGTGCAGAGGTTAGAGAAGGCGGGCCTGTGATCGGAAGATAGCCGGTTCAAGCCTCGGTACCGACAAAGATCAAAAATGTGGGTGGGGTAGGTGAAGCACCCACACCTGCCCCCACCCTGGTCCCATGTGCAAGGCCCTTAACCACCATCTGCTCCCTAAACAGTTCTCTCTTGAAAATGAGTTCTTGTGGCTCAAAGAGACTACCTGTATAAATAAAGGCTAAATGAAAAAAAATATTCATTTCAGGTTGCGTTTACTTCATTAGACCTGAGTGGGAATTAAATATTTTAAAACTTTAAACTTGCTCTACATTTTATTGTTAGTAGCTAAATGTTTGTTGCCTCCCGGAGTTGTCATTTACCTTCAACTTCCTGTCCAAACTATAGGAAATTTACAGTCAAAATAATAAAATTCCAAGCAGAAAAATGAAACGCGTTTCCAAACATTCATTGTAAACAAAATCCCTGAACACGCAGATTATTTGTATGTGGTTGGGGTTTAGTATTTTGTGGCAGTAGGAGCGTTCCAAACCAAACAAACTAAATGCATAAGTAAACTTTGTGCGCCTGTGTTTAGTGCTCTGCTATTTTTTGTGTTTTTAAGTAATTTCTTGTTGTCAGGGAGTTGAGAAATAAGAATTCAGATGGGAGCACGAAGTCTTTGAACATTTTTAAAGCGAGTCCACTCCAAGCACGAACGCACGCACACGCCTATGTGAACACAAAACGTCCACAAGCTGACGTGTGTAAGAAGCATCCGTATTGATGTCTGAATAAATCAAGTCAACTGCAGTTCTGAACAAATCAATTTCCCCATGGATATCTGTGGCTTTCCATCACAGAAACAGTCAACTCAGACTTTTTTTTCCCACCAAACACAGGAACACAAGGTCTCTGCTGCAATTGATTCAAACCAAAACTACCAGAGTTCAGTAAAGATATCAAAGAAGTACTACAAGTATATATATATATATAAAAAAAAAAAAATACTTAATGCGTGAAATATGGGTCAGGAAGATCAAACGACTTGCACCTGCTTAAAGCGACAGATTCTCTTCTTTCCTCTTTCTCGTTTTATCTGACTCTCAAGCTGCTGAATGGGGGGAAAAAAATATGCTTCTGCCTTTGAGCAAGGCTTCATCCCTCACTAATGGAGCTGCTGGGCAACAAGCTGCTCCCAGGTGCAAACGCAGAGCCATCAAGTATTCCCCGAGTGTTGTCAACCTCTGGTTAACAACAGAGGACGAGACGGTCTGCCTCAGCCCCTGAAAGGTGTCATGATTAAAATATATATATATCTGCGTGTTGTCTTGCGTACCTGAACGTGCTGCTGAGCAGTCTTCGCACCGCAGAGACACAGCTCACGGATGATGGTGTCAGACGGCAAACCATGTTGCTCTCCTCTCTCAAAAGGACTGCAGCTCTTTGGACAATTACTTTCAAATCAAGTGAAATTGAAGGGAATGAAAATTGCACCACGTTGGGACCTTTAAAAATTGTGTGGCACTGCTTCCCAGCTCAATTTAAACCCACTCCTCTGTTTCTTTAAAGCCGTCAAATAGCTTCAAAAGGTATCAGTCTGAAAGTGGATTTCTGAACTGGGTCACAGAGGAATGTGCAGGTTTTTTTTTTTTTTTTTTCGTTACTGAACCTGGAGGAGGCAGAACATACTGACACAAGCAAAAAGTGGCAATCATGCTACACATAACAGGAAGGCTCTGGTTGTATGTCCACTGGCCCTCATCCAACAAGGAGCACTGAACATGAGGTGAGAAACCTCCCCTGGCATCTCTTTAGCACCCCATAATTATCACATGTGTGATGCCAAAGACATTATTTTAATAAGTGGATAAACCTGTTCCTCAAACACAGCTCTCCTGTGGGTGCCTGTATGTTTTCAATGCAAACAGACCAAATTTAGTCTGGATCATCACTGAAATACTTCAGCTGAGTGTCTGAAATGACTTGAAACATAGGATGATTATACTGTGTCCAGTTTATTTACCTACTTCCTTCACAAAGCAGCTGGTTTCTCCTCAAAACTACAGATTATTCTACTTACATGTACTATTAGAATATTAAATGTATGCCGAATCACAGACAGGCTCCTAAAGAGTAATTACCTATAAAATGGTAAAGATAGTGGTAAGATTTAAATCAAAATATGAAAAAAAAAAAAAATTTTAAATGAAGTGTGGCGTCGCGTGAACCTGTAGAAGCCACTGTGTTGTTAAAGAGGGGGAGCTGCCAACAAAAACTCGATTAAGTCGGTTTTTTTAATCATTGATTTGTTTGATATTTCCAAATAATTAACGCCTCAATGTAAACACAATAACGTAAAGAGCAGCGAAACATGAAATAAACGCTAAAAACGTTTACTACGTTGTTGGTAAATCACCGGTTGTTAGCTTGAACTCAAGAAACGACATATTTACCATTCTCACAGCCGCTGGAGCAACTGTGTCCCTACTTCTGAGAAACTTTTCTCCCCAGCAGCACAACCAGGTCCAAACATAATCAGCAGAACCGAACTTGATGTCCCGTTCCGCTCTCGTCGGAATTAATAAAAGTGACCGTTGATATCGGCGCAACAGATGCCATCACCCGAGGAGCTGCTGCTGCGCCTGGAACCCGACCAACGGCTGCGAAGATACGGTCCTTTACTCCGCCAGCCCGTCGCTGTAATCCACATAACACCCAGCGAGCCAGAGAAGCACGTTGTGTTTACGCTCCGCCCACCGCTGCAGACTAGAAGGCGGGGCCACAAGTCATATCGAACACACCCACTCTGCTCCATCTCCTTCACCTCTCTCATTTCAAAATAAAAGTAAAAGATAATGTAAAATTAAGTGGAGATTTTTATTTTTTTTATATAGCTATTTTCCAAATATGTTCAGATCATAGAATGAGCCTATAAAGCACAGGTTCAGGGGCCAAACAGACAGTCATAACCTAAAATGCTATTTCAGTTTGGGGAAAAACATAAAATTAAAGAAAGTAGAAAACATAAATGTTCTGCAAACATGCAGTTTGAATTTTGAGCGTAATGACGGCTGATTTAAACTAAGTTGATACACATAAAACAACAGAACAATAAGTAAATGCCAAAATAATCAAAAAGCTAATAAACTACAAGTAGCAGAACAGGAGCTAAAAGCTGAAAGAAGCAAAAAAAAAAAAAAAGTAATTCTTCAATGCTATTTAAGTAGTAAAATGTATTTTAAAATAGAAAAGGCAGATGGAACTCCTGAGTGTTAAACTGTGTCATTTAAATCACTGCATTTAGTGTAGAAGTAACAATAAAGCATCACAGGTTAGTAAAAGTTTTAATTTTACCTTCTGTGTTGAAATGACAACATGAATTGGTTAAAAAATGTTGATGTGAAAAGTAAACTTTTCTGACAATTACTTCTTAGATTTTTAAATATGTTTGTTTAGACCAGGGGCCTGCAACCTGCAGCTCTGGGGCCACATGCGGCTCTTTGGTCCTTGGTCTGCGGTTCCTTGAAACTTTGACCAAACCTAATGCAAAATGTAAAGTAATTGGTTTTTATACCCACAGTAAAGAGAAATGGTAAGTTTTAGCAGTTTTTCTGCAAATGTTTAAATGAAATTAGAGAAAATAATGATGATTAACGTTAACTACTTCATTTACCTGCAACAGCTGGCTTTATAGTGGGATTGTTCTCTCAAATCCACCAGAAATACCTTTAGGATAAGTTGCTTAGAAGAAATATGATGAATTATATATACAAAAGTTGTTTTGAAATTAAAAAAATTATAAGTCACATTGACATATTCAATAAAATTGCCTAATATTTAGACAAATGAAGATAAACTTTAATTTTACGTTTTATTACTTTAAAGTGGGATACATTTTTTTTTTTTATTAAAAGGAAGACTCAAAAAGCTGCAGAGTTTAGGGTTAAAATGTATTTGGTAACATTGGTATGAATTTTTTCCCCCTTGTTTACATGAATGCAGTATTTTCCTTAGCCCTAAAATATAAAAATATTAATAAATGTTAAAATTTATTGTATAATTTTTGTTTTATAATTCACCTCCAATGGCTGAAAAAAACAACAACAATTTGAATTGGCCCATGAACCCCCAGTTGATAATCACTGTTGTAGCAGGTTTTGCAGCTAGACACATTTTGTTTCATAACTGAAGGGTAGAAATGGCTCTTTTGATCCAAAAGGTTGCAGACCCCTGGTTTAGATCCTTATGGCTTAAAGAGGGGAGACACATTTTTATGTGAAGTGAAAGGATGGATGAATTACTCCACGCAGGTTTCTGTTTGGGTCATAAATTATTTAAAGGCCCAGCAGCAGCTCTGCTCTGGCCCGGCTGATAAAGACACCAGTTAGTTAGGGTTATTGGGCCTGTCATATAATCCTGCAGCTGATAGTTTATTGTCCAAACACACATTAACAATTCATCCTTTGAAAAGGGGACCTCTGGCTGACTTTCTGCCTCCTGCCATCTAATAAGAACACACCCGTGTGTTTGGCTCACCCGTCAGTCTTTCTTGTCTTTTTAAAATTCACACGTGGACCTGAAGTCCACTTTATCAGAACAGCGCGTGAGTCATACGACTGTTAATCATCGGGAGGAGCGTGTTGGGTTATGAGCTCCGAGGCCTCGGTGATTCAGCCTGCAGAACAGAGAACGACACCTGGTGCTGAAGCTGGGCGAAAAAAGCTCCAATACTCAAATTTAAACCCAATCCCTGCTCAGTTGGTGTTATTTGTCTGAAGGCCCGAGTGCTTTGTGAGAATGCTCTTTGCATCTTTCTGTGATGGCGCTGCAACACATCTCTCTCTCTCGGCTGTCAGAAATCCTTGCAACCCGATCCACTTGCACTCCATCTCTCCTGGGAATGGAAGAATAAAATCCATCTTTATGAGGGGAAAGAGGGACAGCAGCTTGAGAGTTAACTGTGGCCATTTAATTAAGGTGCAGCTTGGAACGCTCATTGTACTTCCAAATTGATTTAGTTCAGAGAAATCATCGCACATGGGCTCCCAGGAAACAACTTTAGCCTCTAAGAGCCATTAAGAGCAGATCTGTAATGGGTGCTTGTGAGGGAGTAAAAGTGGAAAACAACACCAGGAGAGAGTTATAAAACCACTCTTTCTGCCTGCTTCAACCCCCTGTGAGCAATAAACACCTGCACTGTGAATTCATCTTGATTTTACAGCAATATGATTAAAAATAAATGGAATAATTTTCACTTTAAAGATTTTTATGTAAGAAAACAAACATCAGACCGACTTAGGCTCTAATCAGTAAAACAACAACATGCTATAATAGGAACACTATATTATATTGTGTCTTTGTTTAGTTGAAGAAAACTGAGCCAAAATGCAAAAATAAAGTACTAAATTTAAAAAAAATTACATATTCTAATATATACATTCTAATTGCTTCTATGGAAGTCAAGTATACTATAAATGCTGTGCAGCTCTACAGCCACAAATCTCAAATAAGTTGAAAAAGAGGCGCCGTAGATGTATTCTCGTCTCTCTGCCGGCTGTGCTCGAGTGCCTGACCACTGAGATGCTGGAAATTGCAGGAAACATGGCTCGTGACAGCAGAAGGATGGGATCGTCCCCCGGCACCTAAAGCCAGCTGTCCGAAGTGACGAGGAGCTCGGCAGGATGCTGGGAGGAGTGACCATCGCTCTCGGAGGAGTTCTGCCTGGCATTCGGGCGGTCCTGCAGCCCGAGGGAACTGAGAGGCCAGCCGAGTCTGGGTGGATAAATTGGCTGGCATCGGAGGCCATTTTCTTTGGATCTGCTGTGGGACGAACTTTTACAAGAGATCCTTCCTGCCTACAGCCATCAGTATCTATAACATCTCTAAATGAAATGATGATAACAGCTACAACAACATTTAATTTCCCTTTGGGATTAATAAAGTATTTTTTGAATTTGAATTATACACAATCACCTAATCATCATCAGAATGGCCACCTCTATAAAAGCAGGAGTTTTGTCAGCTGGCTCCTCTAAAATTGTATGTTCACACAATGTCAAGGCAGAAAGACATCAGCAATCATCTCAGAGGAGCAGCTGTTGTTGCCCATCAGCCTGCGAAGGGTTGAAAGGTCATTTCCAATGTATTGGGAGTCCATATTTCTAAAAAGATTAAGTGGGAGAACATTTAAGACATATGCCGATCTTCCCAAAAGTGAGTGTCCCAAAAAATTTACCCCAAGGTCAGGCTGTGCAATGCTCAAAATAATGACAAAAGCCAGAGCGTTACGCCTCAAACTCAAGACCAAATGGAGGATATTTACCCATAATTCACAGCCACATGTTTGGTGAAAACTAAACACAGCACATCTATCATGTTCTGTGTGTGGATTGAATGGGGAGCACAGGAATGTAATAAATAATAACTATTTATTTTAGGAGAAACAAAAGCTGCCGTGGAAGCAAAACTTACATAACACATGGGAACAAGGAAATACGGAGGAAACAGCATAAACGGCTGTGGGAAGCATAATCCATGCACGACGAGGACACACAAAGACCCTGAACTTAAAGGGACACTAACTAACAAGACTTAATGATGGACACCTCAGGAAAGACAATGAGGCACAGGTGAGAGTGGCAGGAGCTGGAGCTGGCTACATGGGGGAAAACACACTACAGGCTGAAAAGATGATAAAAGAAAACAGAATAAAACACAAGGATCTCAAAATCTAAACACAACTAATAAAACACAGCTTTGCAGAGAGTGGTGAAGGCTGCACAGAAGTCTGTTGGAGTCAGCCTCTCCACCATCACAGACATCTACACCTCCAGATGCAGGATGAGGCCACCTGCATCATGAAGGACGCCACTCACCCAGCACACACTTTTTGCCCCGCTCCCCTCAGGCAGGAGTTTCAAGAGCATTAAGTGCAGAACCACTAGGCTGAGGAACAGCTTCTGCCCTGAAGCTGTTAGACCCATAAACCCCTCAGGATCATTGCTGTTAGAAAAAAAATCACTGTAATGCCACTTTAATTGGTGATATGTGACTTATCTGTGCTGCTGATCTCATGCTGCTGATTATCTCATTCATGCTGCTGTATTCATTCATACCCATCTACTACTGCAGACTCATGTTTGGGCTGCAAACTGCAATGATCTGAAGTAATGTAGGAAAAAGAGGGGGAATCATTCCTTTACAACCACGTGACAGATGATAAGATATTACACAAGACAATTAGAGAATTAATTGTGCCTAAGCTGTTAAATCATGTTTAGTTTCTCTACACAACTTTTGCATTTCGGTTAAGTTTTTGTTCGTCTGTGTGTCGTGATTACAGCCGAAAGAAGGTTAGTGTTTAGACTTATCATCCAAAACGGCAAAAAAATTCACGAGCATCAACAAACTGAGCATTTGGTGCACTTCTTTAATCCACGCTGCGATAATCACAAGATGCCATTGTTCTTGTTCCCCATCAATGTTTGTGCTCTTCACGAACTTCCT